CTATTGATAATATATTTATTCTGCAGTCTGTAATCCTGCATTATCTGTCTAAGAAGCGTGGTAAATTATATGTTCATTTTGTTGACTTTAAAAAGGCTTTCGATTTTGTAAATAGATCTAAACTTTGGCTAGTTCTTAAATCCAGAGGTGTGTCCCCAAAAATGTTAAATGCATTAGAATCCATTAGAATCCATCTATTCCTGTGTTAAAAGCTGTGTTAAGATCAGAAATTGTTTTACAGAATGTTTTGATTGCCCTCTAGGACTTCGGCAAGGCTGCGTAATGAGTCCATTTTTATTTTCTATTTTTATAAACGACTTAGCTTTGTATATAGAATCAACATGCACTCCAGGTGTACAGCTACACCCTGACACTGTACCGATTTTTCTATTGTTGTTTGCTGATGTTGCTTTTATTGCTGATACTGTGTATGGCCTTCAAAAACGCATAAAAGCTCTGGAAAGTTTTTGTAGTAACTATCATCTAACAGTCAACTTGGATAAAACTAAGGTAGTGGTATTTAAAAATGGGGGTATTTTATCAAAATATGAAAAGTGGTATTACGAGGGTAAAAAACTTCAGTGTGTAAGTTCTTATAAATATCTCGGTACCATTCTTTCAAAAACTCTCACCTGGTCTTTGCATGTTAATAGTGCTGCTTTACAAGCTAAAAAGGTCCTATTTGGTGTCATTAAATCTCTAAAAATGCTTCAACCTCTTCCTTATGACCTATTTTTCAAAATTTTTGATTCTAAAATATTTCCAATTCTTTTATACGGTGCCGAGATTTGGGGTGTAGATACTTACAAGGAATTAGAGCAAATCCAGGTACTAGCAAGTAAACGCTTTCTTGGGGTTAAACAATCTTCATCAAATCATGTGGTTAGGGGGGAATGAGGAAGGTATCCTATGTACATATGTGCTTATAAGCGTGTAGTTACTTATTGGTACAGAATTTTACATTTGCCTGAAAATAGATTAGTTAAGAAATGTTATAGATTATTATTACTTGATGTTAATAATGGTAAGATCAACTGGGTCTCTAAAATCAAACACATTCTCTGTTTGTTTGGTTTTGGCTACATATGGGAGATGCAATTTAGTAATAATAGTAGAAGTTTTATTTCGGAATTTGTAAACCGTTTAATAGCCTCATCTGAGCAAGATTGGCATGCAGCGGTTTCATCTAGCACTTAATCCCAAAGTTACTCTCTTCACAAAATTTCATTTGGCTAAGAAAGCTATATCAATGAAGTAAATGTTTCAAAATTCAGAGCTGCCCTTGCTCAGTTGAGATGCTCCTCCCATCGGCTGCGAAATGAGACCGATCGATATATTAAGGAAATTAGAGAACAGAGACTGTGTTTGATTTGTAACCAGAATTTTATTGAGGACGAATATCATTTTGTGCTTATATGCAATGCTTATCATGCTTATAGTGATTTAAGAGCTGAATATATTCCTCCTAAATATTTTACAACCCCTTCTAAAAATAAATTTAATGCTCTTATGTCATCCACTAACTTTAAAATCATACGAAATCTAGCAGTCTACGTTTACAAAGCTTTTCGACTTCGTTCATTGCATACAGTCTAAATACTTATTTGTATATATGCATGTGTATGTGTATGAATGCGTATGGATATGGATATATATGTAAAATAGTGGTAATTCTTTTTTCTCCCTCTCTCTGTAAATAGTTTTGTGTAATAGGCCTACGGCCTAACACTTTTTGTGAATAAACAATATATATATATATACAATATATATGTCTAGGCCTGTTTACATCTCTCGATGTCCCTTTCAAGCCTGGATAAATACAACCAGAGAGCTAAAATTAGAACTCAACCTTTACCAGCTCAGGTATGTCAAAGCTACACTGGTGGCTTCTGCCTCACAATGACATGCCAGGTATTCTTCTTATACTTCCCAATCAGCCCAAGACAGGAAGATGCATATCAACTGTCTGTAAATGTTTATTCCAAGCTATCAAAGTATGGCAAGTTTGGCTTCACCACTAGCCAGTATTGAGCGCGACAGACAACACCGAAGTGGTGTACATATAGTGTATATACAGCATCAATGGGGCACAAGATCACAGCTGTTTATTTGCCTTGGCAGACTAGATGAGTTGCAGGGTGGAAGCATGCCAGATACCGGGCAAGTTAGACATACCTGCGGAAGAACAAACTCATGCCCATGGAATGGTCCCTCCATCCCATATTGGAGCAATATTATTATAAGTGCCTAACCAGAATTCAAGGCTAAATATCAGATCTCATCTCTGGGCAGACTGGGACACAGATTTTATATTATCCCTGCTCTTGGCAAGGGAATTGATTCACTAGATCAGCATCTTTGCCCTGTACATCTTTTTAGAATAATCTATCGGCAACTCAACCTCACTATAGGCAATGAAAGTGCCTCTTTATATCATGTAAATCGTCCTTGTATAACAATGCAATTAAAGCCACTGTTGCAGGCTGGCTCAAGGCAACCATCTCAAACAGTTGCAGTCACATAAAAGTGACTTATCCTGTGTGTACGGGTCATGAGATCAGACCCTTTTCCACCAGGAGCCTTATCCTGGAATAATGGGTCCACGGAAGAGGTCGCAGCCAGTTGTCAGTGGAAATCCAACAACACATTTACTACTTTCTGTCTATGAGATATTCAGCCACACTGAAGGTTATCTATAGCCTTGGGCCGGTGGTGGCCACACAAACCTTCATCAGTTTGTAACCTCCTCCACCTTGACTGGGAGCAAGACAGGAGGGGTGTCTGTGTGTGTTTGTATGTTCCTGTAACAAGCAGTTTGGCAAGTTAAATAACACTTGGGCCTATTCTCTACCAAGGTTTATAGGCAGGAAATCACTATCAAATGTCATGGGAATGATGTCAGCACAGAAGTGACGTCATCAAGCCAGAGGTGACGTCATGATGGGCACATACTAGAAGGGTCATAGAGAGCCAGACTTATTTAAGGAAGAATGACATCACAAAGTGGGATTGTAAGGACACAAGAGGTTTGTCAGGTATTTACTAATGTCCTTGGCATGATTCTGAATTTGATGTGATTTCAGTTCCTGTGCTCCAATATTGTTAAAAACAGGAAAGAAACTAGAGAAACTTGTGTTAGAGCAATTAGGCACCCCCCTGGAGCTGGATTAAGGAGAGGACACCCAGCTGATTGAGTAAAGCTATTGGGGTTTGATCTCCCTATATGCAGACCGTAAACTATCCAGGGATTACAAGATGCCAGAAAGCACCTGTGTCTTCTGGCTAAGATGTAATAGAGGTAAAGTATCCACAAGAATTATCAAACAATAGTTTGATAGGATGTTTAAAGTTTGAAAGAAGTGAGGTTTCCTACCCTTGTGCATGCAGGATTTATGGCTAAGATGTAATAGAGGTTGTGTTCTTTTAGTTCTTAACAATGATAAATAGTGTTTCAGTTTCTACAATATTTAATATTTTAACCTTGCTTTGTTCATTGCATTTTGCCCATGCCCCTCATACATCAAATTGCATTCTTGGCAGACATGTTGAAAAAACACCGCTATTTATGGTCAAAATGTAATGAAACTTTGTATATGTGTATTGTGTAGTAGATATTATATGGACTGTTCTCATCTTCACAAATGTTTACATTTTGACCTTGATTGAACCTTTGCTCCTACACTTTCAAAAATCTGATATTTTGCATGTATATTCCATCTAATATTGATATCATCTTATTTTCAAATCATAAGGATTTTATTGTTAGTTTATTTTGTTTTTGAATATAAAAAGCTACATACTGACAAAGGATCAAACATGCATATTATTCTCATGACAAGACTTGGAAAGCTGTGGAAAAAAAACAGTTAATACTTTGTGGAATTGTAGTTTTGCATTTATCAGTTAGTCCCCATTATTTATGCTGAACATATTTGGATATCAATGTTGATGGCAAGTTAGGTTAAGTGACTGTCTTGCTGACATTTTAAACTGTTGACAAAATGTTCACTTTAGCTACAGTGTTGTCACACTATTTTAGTATTTAATACAAACCACCTCTTTTCTAATTTGTGAAATCTTTTCATACTATATGTAGATGCTTGCCCATCATTGTGAAGTTAAAGGTTTGGTGGAAGGCCTCAAGATTCAAATTTAATTGTTTGTGAAACAATTAGAAACAAATATGATGATTAAGTAAAAAACAGATGTCCTCAAAAAATGGGTGTATTGCAATGTTAAATTAATTGTTGCATATTAAGAAACATTAAGTTATATATTTTAAATAATAAAGTAGTATTCAAGTTTTATCAAGAAAATATTTCAATTTCAATGGTGAATGAGAACAACTAATGACCCCTTGACATTTAATATGTATCCAGGTGTTCTACTGGGAACAGGAATATATTACTTTGCATGCTGTGTGTGTTGTTTTGCACCACACTCAGCAATATTCCAGCTGTATGACGGTGGTCTATAAATAATCAGACAATCCAGTGATTGAGATCACAAACATTCATCACACATTTGAGATACGATGATATGCATCAACTAAGTCCGCAAGCCTCACCACCTGATCCCATTTGGTTTGGTGCCCCTTATGACCAGCATTGGTTGCTGAAGACCAATTTAATTTGGTAGTTTCATTGCAAGAGAAATTAAGCATCATTTCTTGAACAAGCATTTCATAATCGAACTCTCTAAAACTCAAAAGTCATGTGCTATCCATTTGTCTGTTACGCAGGGCCATCCCACACTGGGCTCTCACAGCTTGGCACACAACTCTTGTATGTCTTATGAAAATTTGGTAATCAAAACATTGTTGCTTTCATTTTTCAGGTGCTTTGATTTTGTGACTTAATATGAGTGGTTTTGATTGGTAAGATCTCTGAGGTAATTAGATATACACTAAGGCTGGACGATTTGATACTGAAAACACTCAAAGTCCTGATTATGGTTGTCTTGTTTATTATTAGGTCTTATTACTTTGCTTCCATTTCTAGGGTGTCTTCATCACTCCAGCCCTTATCCTAGCAACAGTGAGTATCTGGCACCATCTCATGGCAATAACCAGGATAAGCATGCAAGCAGGAATAGCCTAGCTAGCTGGGATGATTCAAGGGATCTGGAATTTCAGTCTGTGGTATTTCAGAAGTTTACACATGCCACTAGCATCTAAATATAGTAACTTCCTGATGACTGCTTACATTAAAAAGTACTAAGTTCCTGACAACTAATCACTGTCCAAACACTATGCAATGAGCGTCTACCGAATCTCAACAGAAACAATGTAACACAGCTACAATTACTGTGCAACAATAAAATCCACTGCCATAGAACACAAAACACATCCTATAGTTTTGCTCGTGCCTCATGCAGATGTGCAACACACGTGCGTAAGGTGTCATTCCTGATTTCTACACTTTCAAAGAAAGTAGATTAATCTCTGTCGACCATTATTTCTGTCAGCCTTATTGATTGTATGCTTATCATACAGTGGTGATTTACTTGATGTCATTCATTTGTGTGTGAGCGGGTGATGTGGTGTCTGCAATGCAAGGAGCATCTACAGGCAGTTGGCACGCTGGAAATGGGCAGAAGTCAGCTAGCAGTGGCTAATAGGTTTGGTGTTTCACAGTCTGTTATTAGCAGACCATGAGATGTCAAAGTCTGTTCCATCAGCTGGCAAGGTGATGGCTTTGTTTTTCTCGGATTGCAAAGCATTCCTACATATGGACTACCTCCCAATGGGACAGACCTTTAATGGCAAGTGATCTGTTGAGGCAACTGCATTAGAATACTGTAAATCTTGAAATTAACACTAGCGTCAATTAAATAAAAAAAAAGCGAGTGGTCTTTGCTGACATTATTAAACATCACTTTTATATCAACAAGACATTTTGGATAGCAGAAAAACCAACTATTTATTCCACATCACTGTTTATTGAGCAGCACTTGTAACATGTATATAAAGAATGTAATTCAAATACTAATTACATCCTGTGAATTGTCACTGCTGGGGTCGAGACAGACACCACCCACGCAACACGGTGTCTTTGTTCTTTGCGAATGCGTCAAAGGCCGACACGAGCCAGTGCGTATAAATAGGCTTCATCACACTAACTTTTAGATCAACAGCCTTTGTTTTGTCACACGCCTTATAGTTTGTTGACACTTTCGCCGCGCTTTCTTCCTTTGAACTTCCTCAATGCCACTCAACAGAATAAACTCAAAAAGCATCTGTTGTTCTTAGGAAAACACAGTATTGTTTCAGCGGAAGTACTCTACTCAGTGCTAATAAGCGGTGCTATTTGGTGTTTGATTGGATTAATGTGGGATTGGATTAATGTGAGGATTCTCCTGTAAACCTGACAGAAGACATTTTCTTTATCTACAAATCAACTGATGCTTGAGAGGAGGGGGATGTCGCATTCATATTGAGTCGCATTTTTGGCTAGGGCCAAGCGGTCGCATTCTTTTGGAGACACATTAATTTCATGATTTACAGAATCAACGCTAAATGTCATGGAAAATGGTGTGTTGTTACACCAGGACAATGTAGCTGTGGACATGTCTGTTGTTGTCATGGCTATAATATGTTGTATGGTCAAGGTAATATTTGTCTGGGGTAAGAAAAGTGAATACTTCTCTTTAAATGAGAAGGGTGTGGACATTTAGGAGATAAATCTATTGTGTATCGAATTTGATGTAGTTCCACTGTAGAGTAGAAACCTCTTATTTAAGTTTGGAACCAAGTGCTTAGCGCGAGGTTTCATATGTAAAAATAAGAGGTATTTACTCTACAGTGGGACCATATCAAATTTCAAAACACAGTAGGTTATCTCCGTTCTACTATGATGACAACAGTGCTTTGTAAATGGTGCTCTTTTGGAACGCCTAATTGCACAAGGCACAAAGCTCCTAAAGTGGTGTCACAGGTTGTTGCTGTAACAAAAAGAAGATGACAAATAACCCTGCAAAATGAGTCAAAAGATTGTTTTTATTCCATAGCAACCTGTTGCATGTTTGCACTGTTCAGACTCTTCTTGGAAATCAGCATGACAAGTCTTTTCTTAAACATCAACGTTGAATTCTCCCATTCTAGCAGTGACAGGTTGTAGAAATAGTAAAACAAAAACCTGAGCAAATTTATGTCTCCAGCGAACTTTATTCATTTACATTCTGTTATTTAATTTTTAAATGTTTTATTAGTTAGTTAGCAAATACCCCCAGTAATAATAAAAAAAAAAAATAAATGCCTCTGTGCCTGTGTTGTGACTGCAGTGATTAGGGGACATTTGTTCATGATTTTTTGTTGGCTTTGGAAGAGACCAAATCCTAATGTCAGTAGTTGACGGACATAGCGATGAATATCGAACACAAAAAGGTTTGTAAACAACATGTTATCACAAATAAAGTCTTCTATTTAAACACTGTTTATAATGATGTTTTATTTCGGATATAAACATACAGTGTTTATGATGTTGAGCTAGGTTACCTGTGGCTTTAGCCACGCTAAATTGAATCTAGAACCAAACTCGCAACATGTCAAGTGTTAAATTTAGTGCAGTTATATCTACAGGTAATCTAGCTCTACACTAACAACACAGTATATTCATCTCCATTCTACCATGACTAAACAAAACACAAACTCTTTGTTGTCAGCAAATATATTGAGTGAAGTGCCATGAATCCAGTGGGTTGTCAATCAGAATTTCAGGAATCACTGACAACAGCCTTTAAACAGAAAATGGCGCTCTATATGCTCAAGCAGTTTGTTTACACTGTAATACTTCACTTGAATATATGACAGGCATTGAAAGCATATGAACACGGCAACCTCGTAAGCTAACATGACCATGGGTACTCTCCGGACATATAACGTCACAGTTGTATAGAAAAGCACCAAACTCCAAGTTCTCTGTTGTCCCCAAATCTTAAGATACCGTATTCGACGTAATAAGCGCCCTGCTCTAATAAGCGCCCACTGCGATAATTGCTAACATATTGGCTAGTGAACAATCCCAATTAGCACCCCTTCCAATTGATCAGTGTACACAACACTTATTTATTCGCGTATAATACACATTCGTGTGTTATATGCACCCTTAATTATGGGCAAAATATCTGTTGTACATAAACATTTCAGGCTGTCACCATAAACCACAAAATTTATCTTTCAACTCTGTTTTTTCCACCAGAATAATTTTCTAATAAGAGCCCCATATTTCTAATTTGGAGAGCACCCTGGGCGCTTTTACGTCAAATACGGTACATTTTATTTGTTGACTTCTATCGTGTTGTCTTCATGAAATATATTGCACACATCCATTGAATATTGTAGTAACCGCAACTTTGCATTTGGTAATCTGTAATTGGAGATAAAATTATTTTAATATGCCTACTGACAATGAGTGAAAAAAATATCATTCTATTCTTATGCAGCTGTCAATTTGGCTGTTTCAATCAGAGTTTTTTTGTGTGATTTGACAACCTCTGATTGACCAATCAGAATTGAGTAATTTCCAAATACATGGTAGAATTTTCTTTTAGTATCATTTGTTTCCATAAGGAAATTACCTAAGATGCCCCTTTGAGTATTATTAACGTTGTCCGTTGTATGAAAAAGATATGCCTTTGTTGAAGTATTGTCATCTCATCATCAAACAGTCAGGGTTATGGTCTCGAACATCAAAATTGTAGTCAAAATCATCTGTCATCAAACATACCGTATTTCCTCGTTAAGTTGCCCAGGCACTCAATAATTTGGCATGAGCTGTTCACCCGATGTAAGGTGCCAAAATCTACCCCCCTTCAGAGTATACCCGGGTAGATTCTGGGAGCTCCCAGAATCTACCCCGGGGTAGATTTTGGGGACTTCCCAGAATCTACCCCCCTTTCCCAGAATCTACCCCCAGGGGGTATAATCTGGGAGTTCCCAGAATCTACCCCGGGGTATAATCTGGGAGCTCCTCCCAGAATCTACCCCGGGTTATAGCTATAATCTAGGAGCAATGTTTTTACAGCAATTGACCAGGAGAGATCAAGACTGAGTTAGATGCATCCCCCAAAAGGAAACTTCATGTACATTCATGAAATAAAAATGTTTAAATCAAACAGGGCTGCAGTAGATTCTTGGAGCTCCTAGATTATAGTTATAACCAGGGGTAGATTCTGGGAGCTCCCAGGTTATACCCCGGGGTAGATTCTGGGAACTCCCAGAGTATACCCCCGGGGGTTGATTCTGGAAAAGGGGGGTAGATTCTGGGAGCTCCCAGAATCTACCCGGGTATACTTTGAAGGGGGGGGGGGTATACTTTCAGACTTTACACCGGCTGGCATCCATGAGAAGCCAGCACATATTAGAGATCCTCCATCTAATACAGGTAATGAGGTATACAGTTAAGATGGGTTATTGGCAGCCATCATATGGATCAAGTAGGTTATCGATGTATTAATACGCACAGATTTTGGGTGAAAAGGCTTCATTTAAAAGAGGTTTCAGTTTTCAGTACCTCCAGTACTGTGACCCCAGTTGACAGGTTAATTGTTAACAATTTGGGATTGTGACATTTGTTTACACTATGCAGCTTTTGGAGTGAAAATTGTGGAAACACATGTTTTCTTGCTTTGCAGCAAACTTCAAACAGTGGCCCTTCCACACTCCTCCCTCTAGCTGTGTGTGAGCTCTGTGCTACTATGACAACCTAATTAATCAACCTGAATGACTCTGATGTGCACAGAATCATGATTTTCTGTTACATGGCCATAGGACAAGTCAAAAACAGCCTCACTCAATATTTGAAATACTTTTCAAAGACAAAAGTAGACATTAACTGCACAACATTTTTATTTCAGTAGCTAAGTATTTCTTCATATTTGTTTCTATTTGATGTTGACCTCTTTATCAACATTCTTTACGTTATATTACTGAAACATATCTTGGTTTTTGTTTAATTTGTGATTGAAAATGTTAGCAGTTATAGATTCTCAGTTTTCAACTTTTTAGCTGTCTTTTCATGTCCTATCCAGTCATCCA